TGGGTGAGGGCACGTGGAAAGGGGAGAGAAGAAGAGAATTCGAGGACTGAAACTTTTACTTCTGTGTACCTTTTACTTCTTTCTCTTGCTTATTGCGCTGGCTAGTATTGGACAGAAGTGATAAGAAGAGATGCATTAGTCTTGTTTCCAGCCGTAGTGGGAAAGAATTCAGTCTTTCACTATTAAATATGATGTCCACTATAGATTTTATCAGATTGGGGAAGTTCCCTCACAGTCCTAGTTATCTGAGAATTTTTATCATGAATGAATCCTGAATTTTCTCACAAGTTTTATCTCATTTATAGAGCTTATCGTATAGATTTTTTACACTGTGAATATGATGAATTACACTGAGTTTTAAATGTTGAACCACTCATGTATTCCTGGAATAAACTCTCCTTTTTCATGATGTAGTATCATTTTTATACATTGATGGATTCCATTTACTAGTATTTGTTGAGAAAGATTTTTGTGCTTCTAAGTCATGAGTTATATTTGTCTGTTTTCTTTTTCTGAACTTTGTCACACTATTGGCCTTACAGAAGGCTTTTACATTATTCACGTATTGTCACATCCATCACAGAGCCAAGCAAAGTCCTTTACACAAAAGGATGGTCAGTAAATGTCTGTTAAGTCACTCAGTAGAGTGTCGGTGACAAGTGGCTGTATTTTCCGAGCCTCTGCTCTCTCTCTTTTCCTCACCTAAGAATTACAAGTGACAAATCCAATTACCTAGAAAAAAATCTTCCAGATATAAATGTTCATCTAAATTTATGGAATTTTCAGAAGTATAAGCCAAGCGGTGATAGGCACCATGCTCAATAAAAATTTTTATATGATAATATTAACCTGACTTCTCTACATAGTATTTTGAGACTTTGATTTAATTAATATTCACATTTTCTATCACTTAACAGAGCTCTTTCTATAAGGGTAACGTCATAAAGTAGTAGTTCTCATCCTTGGTCTGTATTAGCCTCACCTTTAGAAATGTACAGAAAACACTGATATCCATGTATTATTCTCTATCCCAATTCAATAGATCTTATTCCTCTTCTTAAATGTATCGCAGTTGAGTACCACTGACAGAGGTCATTTTCAACTCTGTCTGCCTTCAATCCACATGGCTGCCACTAACTACAGAAGCCTGTCCCATTAGCAAGCGAGGTAACCCTGCCTTGCTCAGTTCCCTTGTCTAAACAGCCAGAACCAGATGGGCCACATGCTCAGCACAGCGCCCTGTATGCAGCCAGTGCTACAGAACTGTTAGCTCTTGCTGTTCGTGCCGTTCTTATTGTTGTCACTCTCAGGGCAGTTTAGGCAAAATGACTACGTCAGCTGTTCTCCATTTTTTAAGCAGGGGAACTCCTTTAACATAGAGACAGATCACAGACCCATAAACTCTACATGTTGAGTGAGCGGATACAGGACAAAAATGTCACTGTGAATTCAAGGAAGAAACTATTTATTTCGGCAGCATCGATATACAGTTGAGTCATTCTCTTTATTCATTGTAAAGACAATGCGTGGCTTCCCTGTGGACTAGCAGAGTCCTGAAATCAGTCTGAGCCTTGCTTCCCACCCTCTCAAAGCCCGAGTTCTCCTGGGTGTGACCCAGCTCCAGGGACATGGAGCTGCCTGGCACTCGCCAGTACGCCACCGGTCTCACCGGCTTCATGCCCTCTACACCGCTCCACCTCCCTCAGGAGCCTCTGCTGCTCTCTCCAGAGCATGGAGTCATGAATGCTAAGAAATACATCTTAACCCACTGACCCAAGTGTTCCCTAGGGGTGGTTCATGAGGAATCTGAGTGTTAGCACACCAGCTGGTTTCGTACGCTGCTCAACAATAGTAGAGGACAAGTATGACTTAAAGAAAGTGGTTAGAAACAAGAGAAGCCAGGCTGGGATGCGATGAGAGGGGACTGCTTCAGCAGAGGTCGAGAGGCTGGAGGAGCTGTCCATGGAGCCATAGCCGGACCCTCAGGAGCACAAGCAATGCCGACAGGCGTCCGGGAGGGCAGACCTGCGCAGCGGACAGCCTCAGGGCTCTCTAGGGAACCGGCTGCCCCCCCACGAGGCAACATCAGTGAGGAGGGGGAAGAGCCCGCCCTGCCAGGGTCCAGGGCCCACTCCCCCATCAGGGACCCTCGGGCTCTCTTGCTGAGGGGCAGTGGAAGGGTGCAGAGAGGCTGAGCCTTTGTACCTCAATACACTGAACAGCAAACCAAAAGGACTTCCAAACTTACTTGATTCGAACGACTTTACTGGAGTAGACTAAAAACACGGGGCTCTTTTCTTTCTGACTATCCTTTCTTTTCTTTCTAGCTCTTTTCTTTTGGCCTCAGGAGGGAGGCCGACGTAGGGAGCAAACAGCAGACTGCTTAGAGAAAAATGAAGAAGCTACATTTTTCCTGTGTGTGGCAGGCGTGAGTTTAATTTTAGCAACCCTCTACAGCTCTTTCAAAAACAACATACATGTTAATGGTCCTATACCTGGCAGAGTGTAGTCTTATGTATTCCAGGTTCACAGACTTGACTATGGAGAGGACCTCCACACCCACCTGTAGTGGTGGCTGAATTGAAATAGTGAGGCTGCCTCACAGCCTAAACTCTCAAACAGGTCGGTGTTAGAGAGACATGTCCCGTTAGTCCTTCAGGAATTATTAGGTGGACTTCCCCTAACTGTTCCTTTAGCATTCCTACCACCACCGAGCCACCCCCCCCCCCAAAAAAAAAGGTAGAGAAAAGCACATTTGGAGTAACTTGAATTGGCTTTCAGTTTGATTGAGATGCCATGTCTGTTATTTTTCTCCCCAAGAGACAATCCCCTTGACAACCGATTCACTCACTTCTTTCAAATTACCTGCTCAGTTTGGATATAAAAGTTATTTTTTATGGAAGATGAATTTTGTTGCCTTAAATTAGCCTTGAAACCTGCAGCAGCTCCATTTTATTTCCTGCTTTAAACATTTCTTTAAAGTGGAAAAGAAAACTACTTTTCTTTTTTTAAAAATGCATTTGTACAGAACAGGTTGTGTTTACATGGAGACATTAAGAGGTTTCCTCGTAGAGTTTTAAAGAGAGTTAGACAGAAGACAGCAAATCGGAGAGGCTTACTGGCGAACTGCACAGGCTGACCCTAACAGCCTTCAAATATTAGAAAGGTCATTAAAAGGACCACGGAACTGGGCTTTCAGCTCATGAGTGGTCAGCCTAAGTGGATGAATCAAGCAGATGTCAGAGGGCATTTCAGCAGAATGGATACAAAGTCATGGGTTGCAGAGCAGGATGGATGGGACTAAGAAACAGAAACACAGAAGCAAATTTTGATGCAAACAGCAAGAAGAGTAAGTTACTGCAGGAGGAGCAGACATGGCCTGGAGACCTCAGGGACGGCTCGCAGTCAGAGCAGGGCGTGGGCTCCCCCTTGAGGGGCGGGTGAACCTGACTCCGCGGGACGGGGCAGAGGAAAGAGAGCATCACACGGCACAAGGGCATACACAGTGTGGGTGGGGCTGGATGAGTGCGGGTCACCTGATCCCAGCAGAAGCTACGACAGGATCGCAGCATCGAACCACAGGAAGAGCCGTGACGACTGAAAGGGGACCGTGTCCCTGGGTACCTTTCGTTCTGACTGTAAGTCTGGATAACCTAACCCTTGGCTTTCCAAAATTCGATCTACTATAGAAAATATCCGTGTTTTCTCTCTCCAGAAAAGACCTGCAGTGGTTCGGTAATTTTGTCTTTTTACAGCCAGTACTGGGACTGGCAGATCCAGAGCTTCCCAATGACAGTCCCCTATAAACAGTGGTGGCGAATTCATAACCGTGTCAGAGCCAGTCTAGTATTTTTACAGCTTCTGTTTGTAACATCTCAGAAAGGGGGGCTGGAATGGCCCCCATCTCATGTCCTGGGGACCTGGAAGCAGGTGTTAAAAGCAAGGTTGTTAGAGCTGGACTGACAAGCACTGAAACCCTCAACACTGCACTTGGGTGACCTGGACATGTTGCCTGACTTCTGTGCTTCCATTGCCTCACGGACAAAACAGGAGAAGCAGTAGTCACTGTCTTCAAGAAATCATCTTCATCTGAAGATGAAATAAGGAATACAGAACATTTAGCCTAGTTCCTGCTTTAAAATGTGTTCTCTGCCATCAACCTTTCCATTAGCACAACGCCTCATCAGTGTTGTGACATTTATGTTTCTAAAAGCCTGTATTAACTGTTTTAGCATTAACCGTCACTTTTGAACAAGGGTACCTTATCTTTGTTATGGTTGTAGGCATTTCTTACCGGAGAGATGGGGGTAATACTGCTGGGCCTGCTAATCTCACTGAACTGGAAGAGTGAACAGGACAGGAATGTGTTCTGAGAACTTGGTATGTGAAAGTCATTAACTGCCATCTTCCATCTGCAGTGCTCTGGACTGGCGGGAGCTTGTCACCAACGGCGTGGACAAACAAAGGCACGTCAGCCTCATCCAGTCGTGACAAGTCCTTTGCCCAAACCTTCTCTAACAAATTCATTTTAACTCATTTTAATCATATAATGACTCAGTATCTTCATGTGAAAATGACTCATGTGTTTTAACTCACCAAATGTTGCTTTTCCATCATTTTCAGAAAGGTCTCTTGAGCTCTTGCTCCAGAAAGTCACGACTTGGGTAGTGGGTAAGATACGAGATACTGCTTTATTCCCGACTCAAGCCAAATCATGTTTGTTACTAATTTAGGTCACCTACTCAAATAGCAACAATTAAATAAGGGGCAGCACAGCGTGGCTGGCAAGGTGCGGGCTTCTGGCTCGAGTCCTTATTTAGCTGGTTTAATTATTAAAAATTTATTTTACCTTTCTGAACTTGCATCTGAGAAATGGGACCGGAACAAACTGCCTTTTATAGGAGATGGCAATCTTAAAGAGCAGAGCACAGTCCCTGGACACAGCAAATGTTCTCAAAGTGACAACAATGTAACCCCAGAAGAGAGCAGCGCAGACTTACAGCTCACAGAGGCCAGCTCTGGAGGGAAGCAGAGGCACCAGCTGCAGCAACAGCCTGACTCCGTTCTGCCATTCGTCTTCTCTTTCAAATTCGCAGTACAAGTAGCTGCACTCGTCGGACGAAAACTGATAGAACACATAGGTATCTTGAAAGTACACATGCTGGTCCACTGTTGGAAACAAAACAGGTGTGGGTCAGTTTTCTAACGTATATTATTTCGAGAGTCGTAAACCAAATACTACACTGAAAACACTACTAAATATTAGGGAGAAGCCAGGGGCAGGACTCTAATTATACGTCCCAAGTCCATTCCTGGGCACAAGCCCAGTGAACTAGAAAGGATTTACTGACCAATCTACTTTTATTACTTGAAGCTTTGACCAGCATATTCACATGTATTTTATAGTTTTTCTGCTTTCGGGAGAGGTGAAATTCACAATGATTCAAAGATAGTGGGAAGAAAAATTTTTTCAGTGTCTCAAGGAAAACTAATACATGTAATTACTTCAGTGTTACAAAAATACAACACAATGTTGAGTTTCAGTCAATGGTTCTCAGCCAGAGTAACTGCCCCCCAGGGAACACCTGGCGATGTCTGGAGATGTGTCCGGCTGTCACAGCTAGGGGGTGCTATTGGCACCTGGTGTGCAGAAGAAAGAAATGCCATTCCACATTCCACATTGCACGGGACGTGCCCATACAACTAAGAATTATCTAACCCAACATGTCAACACTACCAAGGTTGGGAAACACTGTGGTAAAGGAATCAGAACCGGAGATTTTTCCCAAAAATATTAACGCAATGTTTATAGTAATGCTCACATTGACAAAATGTTGTGTTGAACTCACAAGCAAGCTGATGACACGCCTCAAAGGCAGCTGATTTTCCAAATAGGAGTATCAAGTGCTCGGTATTGTTAACTCACTAAACTAATTATCCCCACACCCCCCTCTGTACTGGACTTGGGGTACGCCTTTCTAAACTTCTGTGTTCTCTGGCCCTCAATATTTATTACCTACAGAGAAAAAGAGCTTCATAGTGACCAACCAGCACCTGCGTAACAGAGCGAAATAAAAAGGTCCAGGTTGCTTTACTCCTGTTCCTCAATTCACTGAGCTCAACGAAGAAGACAGATATCAATCATCTTTTTATAGTTTCTAGTGAACGTCAATTTTCTGATCTGTTTAAACAGCTCGTTCACAGGTCCTATCTCTTAACTGTTCATGATTACTTAGTCAATCAAAATGGCATACACATTCCACTCATAAAATCAGTTTCTGATGGTAATTCCAAGTACAGCAAGATAAATCACACATTTAGGGCAATTAAAGGTGTCACTAATTTAAAAAATAAACTTGTGAGCAGCAGTTTCAGTAGAGAAGGGGGGGCGGTAAGTGAAAGATGCAATGGTTCACATCTGTGAATCAGCGGGTACCTCATTATTTTTACAGAAGGTGTGAGAGAAATAGCAATCAAAAGATGACATGTCACTTTTATTTATTAAATTAAAGAGAATGCAAATATTTACCTGCAAAAACAATTTCCATGCAGACTGTAACATCCTCTAGAAAGCCAAGTATATTTTGGTCTGGTAGCTTAATAAAATAACGACGCTTTGCCTTTACAACGTGGCACTAACCTGACGACATGATCCCCATGTCCAGCAGGAGCTGCCAGACCCCCACGGCCATGGACCTGCACTGGACGAAAGGGCAGTGTTCCAGGAGCCAGTCCACCAGTTCCGACCCAACGCAGCTTCTCCTGGACACACACAAAGCCGTTCACATGAGACACTGTTGCTGCTAACTTGCCAAAAAATTGATATTTAATACCATCCCTCTCCTGTGCTTGCTTTTTTAAGCAAGTGACTCAATAATAAATGGCATATACCGCTTATTCATCTTTCAGATTTCAGCTCAAATATCTCTTCCTTAGAGAAACTTGGACACAAATCCTCTCATACTTTTTCTTCATGTCACCTAACATTTAGTAACCATACATCTTTCTGAATGGATAATATCTGCTTTCCCCACTGAATAATTTTCAGGAGAACGAGGACTATGTATAACTCACTATTAAACCCCAACACGCAGGACAGTGCAGGTACACAGTAAGCTCTCAAAACTTGTAGGTTTGAATAAATGAAAATATGAATTTACCAGTCCTTTTTACATGAAGATAATGCTGCGGCCTCGGTAAGACAAGTAGTTTAAACTTGGGTTAATCATTCATAGATATTCATCTCGTCTCGTTCATGAGAACAACATAATTCTGAGGAGGCTAGACAAAGTTGGGACCACAGTGAGTGGTATAGAATTTTCTTTGCTACTTCTCAGATATTAAACCCTAAAATTTGCCTCTCCAAAAACAACAAATTTGATGGTAAATCTTTTTAGCATAATCTAAGCAACCTAACTAAGCAACTTAGATCATAAAACCTATAGACCCAGATGCGTGTGAAGGATTCCACTAACCACACACATGTAAGATTTTTCTCTGTCATCTGTCTTAAAATATACAACTACATTCAAAGAATGTTGCAATCCTGGCATCACAAAAAAGCATCTTCCTGCCTACTTCTGCATCTTTATCAGCCTGTGATGAAAAACCAAAGGAAGAAAACATTCTGAAAAACTGTTTTCCATTTGCAGAAATTTCATTGAATCCCACTCTCCCTTCTGAGAAACTATCACCAAAACCTTTTTTTACAATGATGTATCATGTAAATGGCTACATTTGTTCTATTTGTTGCTATTTAAGGACCAAAAGATGTCACCTTTATCTGTATTCCTAAAACAGAACAACACTGCCCATCTCTTGTGGCTGGCATAGGCACAAATACCCGGAGATCACACAGTAACCAACAACATGAAAAAAAAATGCTGCGATAGGCAACACTTTCTGGGGTAAAGACAAAAGTGAGTTTTTCTGCTGAGATATTTGATCAAATATTCTAGCTTTTGATAATGCATCACTTTTTTTTTTGGTACAGTGTCAGTATTTGAAAGATAATTAGTGTAATACTAGGCATGTTTAATTGCAGGTTAGCAGTAAGACATTTAAAAGATTAACAGTCAAATAAATAAGTGTTTTTCTTAAAACGAAATGAGAAAACAGATCACAACAAAACAGGCAATTAGGCCAATATTAACTTCTAATTCTATAGGACACCTTTCATGTTAAAGGCTCCAAGTGTTAATTAATTCCTCAACACCTCTGTCAATTAGCCAGCATCTTCCAACTAATTGCTTGCAGCAGTTATCGCAGAGATTACACACTGTATCGTTTTTAATCCTTATTCTCAGAACAATACGGCTCCTCAGCCTACTCTCTGTCCTACGAGAGGACACAGTGAAACATTTTCTGAATATACTAAACTGCCAAATCCCAGAGGATGTCTAGACAGATACGTGTGCATGTTTGGTCACAGGTGACGTGGAAGAAATGTCTCAGACCAGCGTTTCTCAAAGTCGGTACAGCTGGGCGGGGCCTGCGAGTCCTCAGGTCCGACAGAGTCCCAGACGATGCTGGTGATCACAAACCCCGCCCCCATCCCACCTCCAGCTCTACTGGTCTCGCTCTGTTTGGGGGGCAGGGCTGAGGCAATGCTAAAACACAGCACTGCCCTGATACTAGTTAATAATGAGGTGAGCTGCCTCTGCATTTAACTCACACTCCTCGGACTGCTGACCAGGCCTGCAACAATCTGGTTAAAATACTCAGATCCACGGGATCTAAGGGGAAGCCGTATGGAGAAAACAGAGCTGGCCGGGAGGCAGCAGTCTGAAGGCAGGCAGCAGTCTGAATGCAGGCAGCAGTTCTGACGCCAGGTGTATTTTTGGCTGTGTCCGGAATCCAGACACGGTTCTGCGGCCGTGCGTGTGGCTCGAACCACAGCTGCACACGAGGTAGGAACCCTGTGATACGGAGGTGACTGGCTGCCAGGCTATAATGCTGTCGTAAAGCATTACGTTAACAGTCTCTAGAGTGGGACATTTAACATCTCTAAGCTTCCTTCTGTCTCTGGTTACATTTTTAGCAACTGATTCATGGTGTAGAAACAATCTTCGTTTTGAATATTAATGGAGTGATAGTATTCGGAGACCGGTTTTGAAAGTCATCTCAAGTGGTACGTGGGGGATACTTTCCCACGATTTACTACCACTCACAGGAAGGTGAGCCGTACTGGGCCACCATATTAGCACTTGGACTTCGCACCCGGAACATTAGTCAGTCCTTAAATTCTACAAGGAAGGAGGTTCTGGCCTGACCACCGGGAATCCGAAATAGCAAAGCACACGCTCTCTCCCTGTTCTGTTCCCACCAGTATGTTCTAATGTGGACGATGGTTCTTTTCCGTGAACTCGACTCATGTACATCTCTCAGCTCTTTTCCGGTCTATATGCAGACAGATCACGTGAAGAAACAAAGCGGAAAACGAGAGATGCCAGACGCAGCCTTATGTGGCAGCTAAAATGAATCCTGTGAGCTCGCTCACAACCGAACCTAAAGACTAACAGTTTTTGTTAAAAAGAAAAAAAAATCAGACATGTCTAAATTTAGTTACAGAAATGCCATTTATTCTGGGAGGTTTTTTTTTTTTTTTGCTGTCACTTATGCTGAATACTCTTCCTATTCTTTACAGTATTATAATCTCATTTCTGTAAGAAATAATGGTAAAAAATCATAGCAGTTTTTCTTTCTGTTTTATATTTGCACTTTTCTTTAGGTATTGTTTGGTATGGTTTAATATCTTTACTTAAAATAAAAATAATAAAATTATGAAACATAATGAAAAGGTGAAAATTCACTTTATCTTTAGTCTGCACCAGAAAATGAAAATGTGCTCCAAACCTTCTAAGTGACCATTCTCTTAGTCCAGCTGTACTTTAAAACTGGCCACGAGCCTGCCCATCTACTCTAACGCCTCTGCCCTTTTCCCTGCCCAAGGCCAAGAAAGGCTGTCTCCATGCCAACCTGCCCCTCCCCCTCCTCCCAGCGCCCAAGGAGCATGCTCACTCTCACCTGGCGAGTGCAGTCACAGTTCTCTCAGCCCTGGACTTCCAAGGACCCCTCCCTGAGCCTTGATAAGGTCCCTGAAGAGGGGACCCATATTTATTGTAGTCCCAGGGCAGCACGTGTCCAGTAAAATGATTATAAGATATCCCATCTTAGAGAAAACCACCCACACTTGCGGATTCCAGACCCTACCTTCAGAACCAGCAGGCCAACTGCGGACGAACCCTGAGCTCAGTCTCAAGAAGAGATAAGTCACCACCAGTGCCCCAAGTGGACACTTCGAACAGACTGGCCGACCCCTCCTACTGCTGATGTAGCCTGTCTCTCTGTGATCAAGGTTATGATTTCAACACAGGTGTTTTTTTTCACAAGGAGAATTTCTGACAAGGTGTTAGAAAACTGTGTTACCTGTAAAATCCCTTGAGGTTCACTCTGTCCTTTATCAGGTCAGCTGCCTGAACGATAATAATATTCCTCAGCGCTCTTCCTGCACATGAAGAATTCTCCCCATAAATCTAAGTGGAAAAAAACAAGCATTTGTTGTAAATTTAGAACAATAACGCGACAATTTGCGAGTACATTCTATGTACAGGATCATGAACAAATCCATAAGCTTAATACACTTATGTGGCTACAAACATTACTTATTTTACTTTTGCTATTGGATCATTTATGCTATGAAGCCATGATAGCTGTTTTCCATATGCTAATCTGCTTTAACTACAATCATAAATAATCTCCTTTTACACAAAGATTTTAGTGTAAAATACTCTGTTTTTAAAATCAGAGTGTTTCTATCCATATAGCAGAGCGAAGAATATTTTTATTGTAACTCTGCCATGTGGGTACCACATTCATGTAAAGGTCAGATGACAGGACAGTAACTCTGTCCTGTCTGGTGAACATCTCGCCAGGGCGCAATTCAAGAGCAGGCTGCGGTCTGCTTTGCTTTTAAGCTTCAGGCAGTGGCAGAATTCATAGCTAATTCCATGAACCCTGATTTCACCCGCTCCACAATTCCATCTACCAGATAAAAATTTTATTTGACTTCTTTTTTCAATCTTATAATCTGCCCATGTGAGTCTCTGATTCCCGAAAGATGACGGAGGGTGTTCCTTAGATCCGGAGAGGGGTCTACCTGTGAAGGCTCCCTCCTGTCCCTGGGACCGTCCCGGGATCGGCCTGGGATCGGCCCAGGATCAGCCCCGCCTGCCGCAGCACGAGGCTGCTGGGCAAACAAAGCAGGCCAAGTGACAGCGACTGTCTCCACAGGTGAAGGTCGTGAAAGTTAATACATAGAGCGGGTATGCGTTCACATCTGGCTACTTGTTTCTTTCCATTTTTAATTTATCATTTCTTTATTTTTTATTGTTGACACTATTACAGATGTCCCCCCTTCCCCGAGTTTACTTGTTTCTTGGTGAACTCTTTTTGTAGCTATAGAATTCTGTCCCTATAAAATATACGTATCTTCTCTCAAAGCAAACAAATTGATAATAATTGTTTATAAATTGACAGGGAACATGCTAACCCCACCCTTATGCTTCTTTAATTTTCCTGTTATTGCTTCCTAAACACAATCTTTTGAGAAAGGGAGGACAGAACATGGTTTATTTTTAACATGTTAAAACTTAAACACAAAAAACAAAACAAACTGGAACAAGTCAGATGACAGAAACTATCACCATAAGAGAGGTGCATCAGGTACCAATATTCGGTCACTCAGTCATTCAAAAAAAAACCATGTAATGAACCGCTATCAGGCCTCAAAAAGAGGATGCAATAATGGAACAAGGCCAGAGAGGACTCTGTTCTCACCAAGATCATGATCTCCTGCTATTCTGAAAAATGCAACTTTTTGTTGACTTACCATCTTTTCTTACCAATTAGCACGCAGTGATATTCTAGTAAAATTAGTAATTGTAAGTACAAATAATCCCTTTGCCAGTTTTTGATGTAAAATACCCACTACTCTTAAAATTCAGTGTTTCCATACAGAAAATTGAAAACATTTATATTATTAACTCTGCTACGTTGATAATGCAGAGGACTTGGCAGATGGGAAATCTTTTTCCTATCTAGTGAACATCTTGAATTATGACACGGTTCTCAGGACGAGATATCTCGTCTCCCTTTAGCTGCGTCATCTCAAGTGAGGGAGACGGCATGGTCAGGAGCGAAGCAGACAGCTACAGCTGGAGAATTCTATGTAAGGATCTGTGAGGCACCGTTTCAGAAAATACAGTAAGAGAAAAGAATCATACCTGGGAAGACGTATGTTCAAGGTATGGGTTTGAAATTCTTCTTGAAAGAGTCTATTATAAAAGAAAAAGGGGGAAAATTAAAAATAAATAGAAGATGCTATACCTTAATGATGTACTTTATGCAACAGGGGGAGACCCAGTAGTTAACAGTCCATGACAAAAGGGGAGCTTAAATCTCAAGTCACGGGCCATTGAAGATTAGCAACATCCTTATTCTCACTCAAGGTAAATACTATGCAGGCAACATTTACTCCAACGGACAAGATAAGCCATTTGAATGGTATTTGGTCTATAGAGTACAAATTTAAAAGTGCAGCAGAAAGACCAGGATGTTTTCGTACTTATCACTTTATTCTTAATGTGATTCTGATTCCATTGCTCCTTTCCCATTCCTGCCACTTTCAGCAGTTTCACTCAGGATTTCATCCCCACCCACCTTCACTGATGCTTCAGCTTCACCACGGATTCCCCTGTCCTCTAGTCACACCCTCTCAGGCCATCCCACAAACCTCTACCTAACAATGTCTCTAAACTGTCCCCTCAACTTACAGCGGGGTCTGGTATTGCCTACGTGCGTCAATCCAACCCCTGCCGGCCCGCTGGGCCTACTGCCCTCTGCTGCCAGCAGGTCTCTAGTATTCACTTCCCATCTCCCTACCTGGCTCCTTGACTGTTTAAGACTATAGTCATCAGAAGCACCTGTGACTCATACGCTGCCTCTGCACACACCACTTTCCACGCTGGAGAGCCCCCCATCTTCCCTGATACTCTCCTGAAAGCCACCAGACTTTGAGGCCCAGGTCGTGCAGTCACCTCCTAGGCAGAGCTCCTTGGACCCACCCCAGTTCACTAGGGTTCGTCCGTCTGTTTTTCTGCCATTTATGAGGCAGCTCTTGGGTGCTCTGCATGGTCGGTGGTCTCGCTGTGAGTGTGCGTTTGCCCCCACTAGTCCATAAGCTCCTGGAGAGAGTACTGGCAATTTATACAGTTTTGCTTTTACAGCTTCTAGCACAGCGATGTTTATTCATTTATTTGTAGATATTTATATCTCCATATCACTAATGTAGGAGCTACTTTTTCCTACGTAACAATCCGGGACACAGCACTATCACTCACACAAGCTTAAGCACAATAGAGAATTATTACCATTTCCCACTGTGGTATAGGAAAAAGAACAGAGGAACACATATTCACTGAGTTTTCAACCTATGTTTTAAAAGCTTCTTATACCTCTAATTCCCAGGCTTGCTATCTTTTCAGATCCCACAGTTTTTAGTCTGCTGCCTCCACTGCTTAGAATTTGCTAAATTTACACAACATACCCTGCCAATCATCGCTTTCCAGCATATGAACCGTGTACCAGAATTTAATATAAGACAGAATTTCCATTCTGCCTCTTGCCCACTGCACACTCCTCCCACACTTCTTATCTCATCAAACTAAAATAGATAAATAGATTCTTTGTCCAAAAATGCCAACTGGTACACTCTGCTAAAGATCTGCAATGGCTTCAAAGAAAATGAAATTCATAAGGTAGACAGGCCATGTTAAATTCCCATGTATAAATAAAACATCCACCTACCCTTTCCGTCTAGTCTATACGCACTTCCAATGGCTCTTCCTAGGCCTTCTGTCATCCGAGGCTCGGTAATGTATTCACTTATTGAAATACTGAACCACTTAAAATTTGTATATGTACCAAATTTATCATTTGAAGATGAATCATCATGAAAAGTGATTTCTCCCCTATTAACAGAGAGACTTTTAAAAATCAATGTGGCAGGCCAGGACTGACAATCTTTATTACTCACCTAATTGCTCGAATCAGTGCAGAAAAGCAAATACTTCCTGTGATCTAGTTAAAAAGAGAGCGTTTAGGTAGAAACAAGTTCTAAAGAACCGAGCAGGGGAACAAAAGAAAGCCAACCACTTCCTTTCTCTCCGCCAGCCTGAATCTGGCTCTCTCAACACTCGTCTTTCACTCACACAATTCCACTTCACTGCAGCTTCCCCGCTGGATGGCTCATTTGAAAAGACTGGTAAATTGAGTAAATAAAGCAGTGGGATTCTTCCATGCTGACTAGATAACAGTGATAGATAAGCTACCGGCCCACAGGGAATCCATCCACAAGAGCAACACAAGAACTGCCTCCGCAGGACACAATACCTGGATCTGTTGTTAGAACCTCCTGTGAAGCCCTCTCTAACTAGGCCCGGGGGAGCTCTGTTTCATTACGGCTCCTGTGAAGGCAGCTCTCAAGCTCCGCTGGGCTCAGGGAAGCCACGGAGCTCTCTGCAGAGCCCTGGAAAGTATTTGTTATTGCTAAGCTTAAAATCACTACCATAACTCTGTACCTTTTTTTTTAGAGGCCACTCTATGTAAGTTGTAAAAGTAGCACGTGCCAAAGACTTACTGAAAGAAGAACATGGAAGAATAATCTGTTACCTCATTTTTTACAGGTATTGGGAAAGGACTGTTGCCTAAGTTCATCAGGGGAACACCACGGGCCAACTTACAGGAACCTGAGAGTCTCTGCTCTAAAGCACCTCCCAAATTGCTCTCTCAGCACCTACCTGAAGAGCTGTTGTTACAAGAACCCCCTTGAAAATGCACCTGTCTCCTTTTCAGTATGCTCTCTCCAATATATCGTAGAGTGCTGAGCTGTGTTCATCCTATCTTTGACTCCCTGAGTTTTATTTCTCCTCCCAGGATTCAAGGGCTTCATCTAATTGCTCCTATGGTGACTAACTTTCATTCATTTCACAACTACTTATGAAGCCCCCACTGAGCCCCTCGCCAGGCACTGTGGGAGCTTCCACAAACATACATATGAACACCATACCGGCTCATCCCTGATTTAGGAACCCACTTACCAGAAGACATGGATCTAAGGAACACTTTATACCCGTGAATTCGCTTTCTTGATCCCAATGTCCTGTCGATGTACTCTATAACCTTGGGTGGCTGGTCCAGTTGATGCAGGGTGGCCTGTTTTCGATGGCTCTCACCCTCAGGCCTCAGAAACGCAATGCCCTGGCCCTGGCTGGTGTAGCTCAGTGGATTGAGCACGGGCCTGCGAACCACATGATCGCAGTTCGATTCCCAGTCAGGGCACATGCCTGGGTTGCAGGCCAGTTCCCTACAGGCCAGTTCCCAGCAGGGGACGCACAAAAGGCAACCATACATTGATGTTCCTCTCCCTCTCTCCTTCCCCCCTTCCCCTCTAAAGATAAATAAATAAAATCTTTAAAAAAAAAAACAAAAAAAGAAACGCAATGCCCAGACAAGGTAATGATTCTTCCCCGCCCCTTATTCCCAGTTTCCTAGAATTACTTATGTTAGATGTAATGATTATTTCATGAAAGATATGCGTGCACCATAGAGAGAAGACCACTAACAACACAAATAAAATTAGATTTTAACTCAAATTTATTTCCTTTCCTTTCCACTTTAATAAACCATGAAAAAGGGTTTCCTAAATGATTCTAGGCAAGCCTCATATTTTAAACATGTATTAAAAATTTATAACCCTTTAATATTCACAAATGAACTTCCAGAAAAAAATAACAGCATAACTCAAAAGAATAATTGGTTAGCATATATTACCGTCATGGGCTTTTAAAGTCAGGTGTCCACTAAAGCGAAACGCTAATATCTGTGAGTCTGGGTCTGAATCAAGCATGGAACTCATTCGAGTCGCTGGAAATATCGGTGACTCTATGATGGACTTAAGGCACATTTTTTTATTGGCCTTTAAAGGACATGTCTTAATGTTCTCCTTGGGTTAAGCTAAAGTACTAGGGCTACCAAGGGGAGAGAGAACTAGGAGGAGAAAGGCGGAATCATTTCAATCACCAAAGAAGTATGACTGGCCCTACCCACTACGAAGCAGGAACCAACCAGAACCACCGATTTCATTCATACCTTGAGAATTCAGTTTATGACACAACTTTCTATCACCTTCAGCCACTGTCCTTTTCTCATTCCAGGTGATTAAGTAGAATATGAAGATCTTAAGCTAGAAAATATACTTAGATTTCCTACAATCCTAGGAAGCCATGAAGCTCCATAAGTAACTGGAGGGCGTACATCTTAAGAGATCAGGGGCTAAAACGATGGAGGCTGGGATCCAGCAGGCAGTTCAGCAGAGTGCTGAGACCCTGGGTCCTTTTTAAGCCCCAGGATACACTTAATATCTCAATCAAAGCTTGATCAAGATTGAAAGGGCAGAACCCCAGCCTCTATGCCGGCTGACGTACACAGTCATTCCAAGTTAAGCACGGAGAATGCCAACTGAAGACATGAACCAACTGATGAACAGAAAGGCAGGTGGTGTGGCCATGACTCCCACAGCCATTTCCCCAAGGAGCACACTCCCAGCAGCCAGTCCCAGCCACAGGGCCATTTGTATTATCGTCTCAACGCAGTCTGGCCACATCAAAGTCCATGATGTTCTTGAAATCACACTTCTATGGCACTCGGGTGTGTTAAGAAAATGGAATGAAAGGGACGGTGGCAGAAAGGCTTACTGGGCACTTCCCTTGTCTTAAGCACTTTCCCATAGTAGTAACTGCACTGACCTACTCATACTTTTATGGAAAAGAGGCCTGAGAGTGAGAAAAATTAGAAATTTACTTAAGGCCCCAGGGCCGAAAAGTTACAGAGCCAGGACCGAAACAGAAGGGATGGACCCAAAGCTACTGCTGCTCCTAAAACATGTTGTATGTCATTAGATCATAAGAAATTGAAAGTATGTGCTAGAGGTTGTGCTAAATATTTTCCATGCAACGTATCACTTAATCCTTGAAAAACTATGAAGTAGGTACTATTATGACCCCCTCTTTGCGGATGACAAAACTAAAAGAGGCCAAGAAATTCACCTAAGCTTGCAACTGATGCCTACCTTTAGTCACTGCCCCACATATGTACCTTCTAACTTAGACAGTGGTGACTTGAGAGGGAAATGATAAGGGAGTAGTACATCAAACTGCATGGAGAAGTCACGAGTAGTAGACCTAGTGGGTCTCAACCCTGGTTATGAACTAGAACC